TGCCGATATAGCGCCATAGCAAAACGCCTCGCCAAGGACTTTCTTGGAAAGCATGGGATCACCTTGTCCTCTGATGTGAGAATTGATGATCGAGTAGGAAGAGGGGGAAAGAAAAAGAAGTTGATAATGTACAAGCAACGAAAAAGAAAATGGCCGAAGGAAGAAAATTCAATCGAATACATATTGCACCTCATTGCATGAAGACTGGAATGCTTTGAGAAGTTTGTTCACACGAGGTGTAATCCAACCAGACTGCGTGCCATTGGTAGCAACACCCGCAAAGGTAGTAGACGCGTGTTTACAAACACCCTCGGCGTGATTAAACGAATACTGCAAGCAGTCGTTGTTGCGCCCGCAGACCTCCGCACAAGCATCCAACGTAGGAATCGTGCCAGCTGCAAAATCAATCTTGATCCCAGAGAGGTTATCCCAATCGTCGCGCGCCGAGCAAGTCCCATCGTAGACAAGTTTCTGGTAAACGTCTGCATGCAACATGAGCGCGTTCTTCCCACTAGCAAAGAACGCCTGGTCAAACTCCCACATCTTCTCGATATCCTTGGGCGCCATGTGGTGGTACGAGATAGCAGGGTAACACCACGGTTGCCGCCCGTATCCCTCGGAGAAATGGTCGATTTCCCACGGCCGTGACGTCATCATCATCGGCCAGGCCCAAACCAGATCGACGTGCACGTCGTGGAGCGCTCGCGCCAGCGCGCAGTCGCCAGCCCACTCGTGTGCCGTCATCGCTTCGAGATCTTCCTTTGCCCGCATCTGGTACTCGTGCAGGAGGCTCATCGTCCAGCGTGAGAGGACAATGCCCGCCCCGCCGTAGCCGAAGAGTGTTTCACCGATTTGCATGGGGCTTCCTAGGTAGTAATGTCGATCTGGGTTGAGGTGTGCCAGCCAGCCGATCAGGTTCGGCCACACCATGTAGGTGTCGGCTTCGAGGAAGACGTACCACTTGGCATCGGGCATGACTTCTAGTGCGTTATCGATCATTGGGAGGAACTTCCATTTGTCGAGCTTCCAGCCTGGGTTGTTGACCTTGCCTAGTGGGCCGTTTGTGTCGTCGCCCCATTCTGCGTCCGTTAGGCCTTCACGTCCGACCTCTTGTAGACGGCGGTAGATGCCGAATTCGGGTTCGTTATTCATTGTTGCCTCGCTGATGTTGCGGAGGACATCATACGTGCGGACACCATCGATAGTTTCTTCGTAGTCGGAGAATATGGCGAAGTGCGGGACGCATTTCAGCGTGGTGCGGAGGTGGATGGGGACCTTTTCGAGGGATTCGGTCGCACCGGTTTTGATGACGACCATGACATCGTCGAGTGCGTGTAGTAAATGGCCACATTTTTCCTCCACTGTCTCCTCTTTGGGAGGGGAAATTAGAGAAGGACTTGTCCCCTCCCCTACCACAATTGTTTCCCCTCCCGCTTGAGGAATTTGTTCTGGGTTGTTCACGATTGTCGGGTTGGATTCAGGCAATCGAAAGAGGTAGTATATGAAGCAAAATATAAGGATCGGAAAGACCACGAAGAGCCATCGTCGCGGAGAACTAGACATAGTCGGGTTGGTGCTCAGGAACAATCTAAAGATTAAGTAGGAACCGATGCCATTTAGCTAACGAGAATAAGGTGGTAGAAAAGACAGAAAAGATTGAAACAAATGTTTCACAGCACGGAAGGGGAAAAAAGGGTCAGGGATCGCTGTCCCTGAGTCCCTGAGTCAAACGAGTTTGACACTGCCTCGGCAACAGTGGATAATCCATAGGCAGGCAGAAATGGTTGAACCTCTGAACGAGGTGAACGGGGGATCTTTGATAGGCCAAGCAACAGGTTCATTGGGGACTGATCAGCAACCACGCGGCACATAAGCCAAATAAACGGTGGCGTCTTTCAGACCGCTGCCCCACGGTAAGCGTCATCGCTTGCGGGACTTTGCATAGCGAGGCAATGATCGACTGTGTATACCCCGTACAGAGTAGGAGTGTTGGTTAGTGGGAAAGATTCAGGAGCTGAAGATCAGGGGTAATTCATGTCTCAAGTTTGAGATTGATGTCAATTAATCTGTGGTAGGGAGTACAGCAGTCAGCCATGGCGTTGAATAGATTAAGCATGAAACTGGCGTCAACGGACACGGCACGGACGTGTTCGGGTCGGCAACGGGATTGTGGCCTGATGGATTAGGCACCAGTCACGTGTGTTTCAGGGTTGGACGCGAGGTCCCTCTTGATCAACTATCCTTATTGCACAACTCGTAGTTATTCTATTGTCTGAGCAAAAATAAATACAAAATATTCCAAATGCAATCCTATCATCACACATATACAGTTATTTACACCATTACAATTCATCAGCTTCAGCATCAGCTTCAGCATCAACTCGCAGCCGCCTTTTCCGCTCCCACAACAACACAGGAGTAATAGTCAAAGCAACAGCCACACACAGAATAGCAGCCTGAATGCCAAAAACCAGTCCGATCCCATCGCGCTGAATCCATGCAGGTTGGAAGTATCCCACTGCGAACCCGCCGCAGGTGCGCCACATATTCAGAATAGCCGAGACACAGGTCGCCTGCTCCGGGTATTTTTCCAACGTATAGGCCGAGATGGCACTGAGAAAGGGATGTTAGACATACGACAGTACTCAGGAGAGTGGATTTGGAACTTACACAACCGTGGCTACCATGCCGATGTTCACCATGATCCACCCAATGGCTATCCCAATCCAGTGCTTGCCAAAGTGCATGGTTAGTCCGTAGGTAAGGAGACCGCTTGCCATACTACCTATCGGGAACCAGACGCCATGGAGGCGGAGCTCGGTTCGCCAGTTTGAGCTATGGCGCTTGAAGATCCAGCCGTTGAAGAAGTGGCCAAATGCCCAGCCTGTGAGATGGTAAGAATCCGGGGAGAGAGAGAGAGGTGCTATGAAGATGCATACCACATAAAGCTCCAATCACACCGGCAAATCGCATTGATGATGCCTCGATCGTGTCAAACAAATATGGAGGGCTGTGCAGGAAGCTATCGATGGTGGTTGTGATTCCTGCGCAGTCAGCAGGTGAAAGAACGGTGTGATGATGGTTACTTACCAATTGGCCAGGTGAACGTTACCAAGATAGCGATTCCTATCGACAAAGGCTTGGTTAGTGAATGCCATAGCAAACTAGGTCGGCCATACCAACCAGTCATCAACAACGGGAACTTGAACACATAGACCACGACTGTTCGGCTCCAATATATCAACGTCGATACCTTGGGAAGCAGGGTATTTCCAATGCCAAAATAAGACGCGAGTCGTGACTGATTGTTCATTCGTCCAGGCTTGTGGTATGTCTCATAGCCGAAGAGAATCACCATGACAGTGGACACGCCATAGATGGCTGTCAGGACCCCGAAGGAGATACGCCAGTCTGACCCGGCACCAATGTATCCAGCTATCGCAGGACCAAGGAATGGCCCGACGAGGAAGGTGGTGCCCCTATGCTCAAGTCAGTGCTACCCTAAACTTGAGTGGCAAGTCTCCTACCAAATATTGATCATCCGCGGCCATTCTGTTGTCAGATCAGCATAAGGTACTCGAGACAATCCCACAGAAAATACTTACCAGCCGAGGTATACATATCATGAATGATCGGGAGCCCAATTACCTGAGGCACTGTGCCGAATAGACCCTGCAAAGAGCGGAAGGTCGTGAAGGTAGACCAATCATTGGAGAGGGTGGCACCCAGCACCATAAACATAGTGATCACCTGAGGCCACAGCCAGATCGGCAAACTACATTCAGCTGTCAGTGTGACAGCCAACGTGGGCGAAAAAGACCCAACTCACCGCCCATACGCTTCAATGAGCGGAACAGCAAAAATTCCCCCAAACCCCTGCAGCAGAATGCCATAATTCATACTAGTCGCCGAATGAGCGATGGTAATATTCCAATCCATGGCCTGCTCCGTGACCAGGGTTCCACCCCATACCATAGCCCTGCGAGATTTAGTCAGAAAGTTATTATGCATACACATCTCAGCCGGTAGCCGCGATGGGTTTCACAATCGACCGGGTATATTTACCCATCTGCCAACAACGAGCTCGTCATCAGCGACACAAAGAGCATGGTCTTCCGCGCCGATGACCAATTTCTCGGGTTCAAGGGATCCCTGACCTCGAGGTCCGAATCGAAATCGCATTCCTTCAGTTCATGTGTCTCGAGCGACGACGACGCACTGGCTGCCATCTCCTGCGTAAAGTAAACAGGGGAGGGTTTCTCCATGGTAGGTATGTTCGCACTTCTTGGTGCCTGTATTCTGTGCAGTGTAAGGGCTCACCCCCAAGATAACGTACTTTGGTCAGGTAAGGAGGTAAACGAAGATCTTTTTCTTTTCTGCGTGACGGGATACCGTTGGTTTTATGCACGGCGGGTTTTTCTACTACACATGGAGATTCTCGCGTGGCTTTTTTGCACAGGGAGATTCTAGAATCTAGTCCTTAGCAATTCAGAGACATCAGAGGGGAACAACCCTAATCGGTTTCAGATTTGGATATGTTGAAAAGTCTCCGGAATGTACTCCGTACGTGTAGTGGATGTATCATAAAGCTAGATCGGGGCTAGTAGATCCTTCGCCTTAGGGTAATTCGCTATTGAACGTTCCTATTCGCAGGTTTATTTTCTAGGCTTTAGTTCTTTGTTCCTACGGAGTATTGACGTGGCATTGCCATATCTTGGTGTGATATCCCTTGCGCATACCCAACTTGGTCACATTGGACCAATGATCTTCCACGGAGCGCAATAATCCCATGATAATAACGAATCAGGGGTTGATATGTTATAATCTGTAGTATTCCAGGCATGGTAAATTGAATATATACATCGTTTGTATTCTCACCCTAGTATCGGAATTCCTGCCGGATCCCACCGTATGTTGTACTTGTAGATTATGTATTTAGAGAGTATAATCAGAATATACTTCCCCCATCATTCTCATACTCAAAAGTCTTCACGAACGCAATGTCCTTCCTCACCCGCTTGGCCAGCCTACTGGGCTTGTCATCTCCGGCCCCCGTTGCACCCCCAGGCGCCGCACTCGCAGCAACCGTCACAGTAGTGAGTCTGATGAATCTGTCAGATAATTCTTCTATCTAATTCAATTACAGCCTGCATCGTTGGGATTTGTCCCGGTCGCGATTCACTTTGATCTCTTCAATATCCTCGTGGGTCACGGGGGACCTGCGACGGCCGACGAAGTCTCGGCTACCTGCAATGCACGCATCAAAGCCCGAGGGGGAGATGAACCCGAGCTGAGTACGTGTTTCAGTTTGAATGGATAATGGCTTGTTATCATGGCTGTTATAGATGTTATACTGACAATGGATATAGGTACCAGATTAGCCTGTAAGCACACCCTTGTACAGGTATAGGTACAAGCAGTATCCCAATGATATGCTAATGCATTCCTGCAGCGGACACACTCTACATTATGGCCGGACTCGGCCTAGTTGAACGCGTGGCCGAGGACTGCTTCACAGCAAATGCCATCACAAACCACATGGTCGCCATGCCTTCCGCCCAGCATGGCGCACTGCACTTGTCAGTTCCCCCATGCATGTCCTGTTTCTATAATGAGATCAATATAACCAGCCAAGCACGCACTAACCCCATCCAGCACCACCGAGGGTCTAATGGCCGGCGCATTCTTGATGAAAAAGCTCCGAGACACCCGATTCGCATACCCCTTTGCTGAAGCAGACGGCCCCTTGCAATACGCCTATCAGCTAATGGGTCAGTCTGAGCTGGCAAAACAGCACACGTACGCAATTATGGAGGCTCAGGGTCGCATGGATAGTTTCAACCATTTCATGGTCGGCAAGTTCCTGAAGTTCGGAACATTCCCCGAGCGCGTCAAATCGATGGGCTATGATCTAGATGGTGCTTTGGCAGGTGACACTACCACTGGCACCCTCGCTGGCTCCGCTACTATGGTCGACATCGGCGGCGGTCGTGGCGAACTCCTCCTCGAGATTCAGGCCGTATATCCGCATCTCGGCGTGCAGGATCTAATCGTGCAGGAGTTCAATGCGGATATCGATGATGTGCCCGGTGTGCGTCTTATGGAGTGGAATTACAAAAATGAGGCTGAGCAGCCCGTCCGGGGTGCGTGTGTTTACGCGCTGCAGCATATCTTGCATAATTTGCCTGATTTGGATGCTGTAGCGTTGCTGCAGAAGATTTCGCGTGCTATGACACCTGGTTCGCGAGTTTTGATTATTGAGTACGCCAAGAATTTGACTTATACTTCGCTTCATGCGAGTATGATTGCGATGTATGGGGGGCGAGAAAGGAGTTCGGTGGAGTGGAGACAGGTGGCGGGTTTGTGTGGGCTAGAGGTGACTTTTGAGGTTTATGTTAGGGCTGGAGAGTCATTGGTGGAGATGAGGAGGGCGGATCGGTAGTTCAGGGTTGAGAGATATAATTCACTGGTTAATTCAATTGGTTAATGGTTAATTGTTGATACTAGTTCATTGTTAATCGTTCTTTGTCAATATGATGTATCATTTCTTGATGTATACTCATCACATCCCTTCAATCAATAGTTTCGCTTACGTGCATGTAGTTTTTATCTCTCGAACTCAGCAGATCTTTGCAGATCCGATCTAGGGGTGTATCGAATCCATCAATCCCATGTGGATGTGTATTTGATGTATTTTCGTTTTCTCATTCTTCGTCACATCCCTTACTGCATCTCACATGGTCATTGCATGATTTCCATCCCCCTCTCCGGAATGTCGCCTGTGCTTAATCCACATGGTCCTGGCAATGCGAAGTGTCCATTGCCACGATCAAAAGGATGGGATATTTTCTGACACGCAGATTGGCCACACGAGCTTAACTCCTGTCATAAGCCAAAACTGGACGTTTATGACCCCGTACATCAAGGTTCAATACTCTGCCATATCATACAACTCGCTTCGCTTGACCCGATTATATTTTCAGTGTAAATCAAGGGATTTGCCCTACATCCCTTGTTTCCTCTCGATCATTTTACGTATATGCGCCCTTCCACCCGTTGAAAAAGAGTCTAGACAAGTTTCTGACCTGTAAACCGGTTCACGCGAGACTTTTGACAGGATCTCCATTTCTGATAACCTTTAAAGGCAACTTAAAAGCTCTCCTCTACTATCCCTTGGTGCTGGATTGGATTTGGTTTATATTCTTTCGCTTTTGATCCATCTGACCGACCCCGCGCATCGTTCTCGTCTCGTATATATGCCAATGAGTATTTGAATTGGCTCCCTGCCTATAACCGAGAGGTCTGGTTATTGTGTTTTATCTTCATTATGGATATTCCGAAACCTAGTGAGGGCGATGTTGATATCGGTATGTTTACCTGGCAAAGGCCAAGCAAATGGACCTAGAGGATCGTGGATTGACATGTTTAACAGGAACTGGCACATTCCAGGCTTGCTGGGTATGCTCTTCATCTGATAGATTGCCTCTGGATATATGCATACTAACCCTCGAGCAGGTCCTCACATCCATTGTCGGCGTAGCATTGTTGTTCCGCTATGCTATCAAGATCTGGGTGCGTTGGGCTTTACCGCAGGTCACTGCACCTGGTCGAATTTGGGGTACAGAGGACTTATTCTTCCTCGTGGCTTGGGGTTTTGATATCACTCATATGGTATTTATTCAAATGAGGTGAGGTCGACTTGTGTCATTACTCCCAGGTCAGCCATTAACTCTGTCTAGTGCCAATTCGGGCCTTGGGAGGCATTTCTTCTACTTAACTGGGGAAGAGCGTCTTTATGCTATGAAATGGGACTTCCTTTCACAGCCGATGGCTGTCACTTCGGCAATGGTGTCACGCGCAGGCATGATGTGGTTTCTTTTGACTTGCTTTGCGGCCAGCGACAAGATGATTCGTCAATCCATTATCGTCTGTGCCGTTGTTCAGGTTGTCGTCAATATGGTTACAATCGTCCAGATTATTGTCCAGTGCGGACCGAACCCGTATCAAACCGTTAGTATCCTCCTTCTTGGTGCTTGGTCCATTCTAATCTCATCGCAGACTGATCGAGTACAATACTTTCACTATATGTGGACACCACTCCCTGAAGATGGTTCCGTCAAGTGCCAATCACCGGTTGTCCAAACGACTGTAGGCTTTGTACAAGGAGGTATGGGAAATTGTATACTTCAGCAGCTCGGCTCAAATCTAATTGCAATTCGCACAGGATTCAACACTGTGATCGATTTCTTCCTTGCCGTGCTCGCTGCCGTCGAACTCTGGCAATTCTTCCTGCGAACTCTCCACCGCAATCCAAACACCTCATTTTGGTCTCAATTCCGCAAAATTAATGGCACCGTTCGATCCCGCCGGATCTGGCAGACCATCACGCTCAGTGGACCACTCCTACTCTCTGGCTGTGCTTCTATTGTAAAGACATATGTGAGTATAATGTCTTTCCTCGACTTACGCAGCAGCGCTAATATCATTCACTAGAAACTCAAATCGCTTGGTGACAGACAAGACTTCACCTATAACATCGTGACGTTCGTTCTATGGGTAAAGTAAGACCAACTATCATTTCCCAGTCCCAATATTATTAGCTAACACTCCCAGGATCGAGAACTACAGCATCCTCCTCGCCTCCTGCGCCCCAGTAGCCCGCCTCTTCCTCCGGTCCTTCGTTGACCACAGACGCGAGGGCCGGTATCACGGCTACTGGTCTCGCTCTCGGTCAACCGCACACAATGAGCCAGACACAGAGATGAAACGCCGCGTCAATGTTCAAGACCAGTGGCTGGATTCGGCTACAGTGACTAATATGACCAATACTTATATTAAGGATGAGGAGGATCACTGGAATGGACATGGGCACGAGCGCTCTGTCAGTCAGGTTTCGAAGGCGGAGATGCCGGACCATCATGATGATGGATGCGTTACTATTAAGACAGATATTGTTGTTCAGGTTGATGATGGGAGGTCGATCTCTTCGGGTGGGACGAGGTTGTTACCTAATGGGGGTGAGTCTCATTTTGGGGGATATCGTTGATTTACGGTATATAGATCTCTAGTATATAATAAGAAAAGAACTTGGATTATAATTATTTTCTCCTGCTACGTTCTTCTTTGGTGTTGACGAGCAAGAGCGGAGGGTTGAATGTGGCGGATGCTTTTTTATCTATGCGTTCTATATATATCTAGCATTGGACCTTATACATGCTGCTCAATGAACAACCAATTCGGTGTATATGGCAGTCCCAATTAAGCTAGGCTATATAGTGGCCTAAACTGATAGAGAATAGATACATTAGGGGAAATAAAACTAAAATGCGACCGATATACATGAGATTGGAGAGAAAATATACTCTTCATACGTTATACCTCAAGGATTAGGACATAATACCATTTTTTGCCTTCCCATTCATCAATTGGCCCAAGTGGTCGAGCAGTTTCCTGGTCTAGCGGTTATGATTTTCCGTTAACAAATGCGATTCGCTGATGTTCCGGAAAGGTTCTGGGTTCGATTCCCAGGGAAACTATTTTTTGTCTTTTTGCGGAAATCGCGGAGATGGTGAGATGGTGACTTGACTTTTTTCGAGTTATCACCAATGAACTTTTTCTCCGTCACTTCAAGCTGCTGGTCAACATGAAATTACGAATTAGAATAAAGAAGTTTGATCGAGTACTATCGTAGGTAAATGAGATATTGGACTAGAAAGTTATAAAGTGAAACTGTGACTCTATCCATGCTACCAATGATTGAGGATCTCATCACCACCAGTAATGTATGTTGTATGCGAGGTGGTTGTATGTCATGTCTGCACAGAGCCCTGGGGAAAATAGTAAATAGTAAATAGAACGGAGTAGTATGCACAACCCTGGAAGGCATGCGATCTTCCACGGTTGCTCCAACTTTGAAGAGAGGTGGGCCCTCCCCGCAACTTTGAATGTTCAATCTCAAGCCTGTAAGCTGGTCTCAGCCTTCAATATCAAATCCAATTTAGCATCAGAATGCATTCATAATAACGATTACATAACCATCACGTGCATCTATCCAAATCGCATCTATCCAAATCACCACTGCGCTGTCAATAGCTTCACCCTCTAACAATGCCGCCCAAAAAATACGCCCTCCCCTATCGACGGAGCTCCAATGCCTCGGAAGATGACTTCTTCGATATCCCCGATGAACCCTGTCTCTCCATAACCAAGCGCCAGCTACGACGCGTCCGAACATGGGCCACAGTCGCCCTGATCGTCCTATTTATTCTGTGGCAGCGGCGTGAACGCCCCCCGCCGCTGCCCCTACCACATATCCACTACGACGAAGTCGACTGGTCGCGCTTTGCCTATACCCAGTATGCAACCAATGAGGTCTACATGTGCAACTGTCTGATGGTCTTCGAGGCTTTGCACAGACTCGGCAGTAGGGCGGAACGTGTCTTGTTTTACCCAGAGGAGTGGGACCTCATTGTCGAGGATGAGTTTGACCGCGTCAGCCAGTTACTGCTTGAGGCGAAACTCAAGTACAATGTAATGCTGATCCCGATCAAGATCGAGGGAGTTCAGGATGGATCTAGTGAGTTAGGCTGCCGCTGTTGGAACCAATTCTAGCTTCTTGAACATACCCACTGACATGTCACTCGTTTCATAGGCTCCGATTCCAGGGCTTCGTGGGATACTAGCACAGCCAAGCTCATGGCCTTCGGCGAGCACGAATACGACCGTGTCATCCATCTCGACTCGGACGTTATCCTCCTCCAGACAATGGATGAGCTCTTCTTCCTCCCGCCTACCACTGTCGCCATGCCACGTGCTTACTGGCTTCTCCCGGACAAACTGCTCTCGTCACTGATGGTCGTCATTGAGCCCTCCCTCCGCGAATACCTTGCATTGACCGACGTTACCGCACCCACCCAGAACGGTCAAGTCGATATAAACCTGACAGACCATCGGTATGATATGGAGCTGTTGAATAGGCGATACGGGGACTCGGCAATGGTCCTCCCGCATCGGCAGTATGGGCTATTGAGCGGCGAGTTCCGGACGAAGGATCATCGCAAGTTCCTGGGGAATGATGACGAGGTCTGGGACCCTGATCATGTCCTGGCGCAGGCTAAGTTTGTGCACTTTTCCGATTGGCCGCTACCGAAGCCGTGGATTATGTGGTCACAGGACATGTTGGCGGCCGAGCAGCCGAAGTGTGATAACAATCCTGGCACGCCGCAGGAGAGTGGGTGTCGGGATCGAGAGATCTGGAAGATGATATATGATAAGTATCGGAGACAACGAAAAGTATGTTTATTCATGGGGATGGGAATATTGGCTCGTTGCTAACTGTCGTAGGATACCTGCAAGCTGCTCAGTTATCCGGCGCCGGTTTGAGTGGAAATACGCACCTTGATTAATTGTATGCATATGTAGTATAGGTAGATTATGGCGTTTCGGATATATTTCTTTAAAGGGAAGACATGAATCAACGACGATCACTGCATTAGAAACCGAAAATTCAACTGGATATCTCAGAAAATAGTACACGAATGCAAATCCACATGAAGACATTAAGCATACCCCATGCCTCTCCTCCACCAATTCCATACCCCCCTCCTCGCCATAATGCCTCCAAACTCCTTGACACTCCCTACCTCATCCAGTCCCAACGGGAGATCCAACTCTCTCCCATTTTTCATCTGATTGTTTCCATTCCCAGTCCCCTGTTTTCCATATTCATCCTCCTCCTCCACAACGCCGGGTCGCGTAACCAATTGAAAATCCTTATATCGTAACCGACGCACAACATCCACCCAGCTCTCCACCGGCTCCTTTCCGCCCTCCACGTACATGATCCCCGGACACCCGCCGGAGCGCAGGAGTACGGCGCATTGGTGTGTGTCTGCGGCACGTTTGAGCGCGGCAACTTTTTTGCGGGAGGTTATGTGGTGGGTGCGGATTAGAGCGTTGTAGAGAGTTTGCATTTTGGGGTAGAGAGGGGGAGAGTATGGAGTTTGGAGACGGGGAACTTGGAGCTCGGAGGCGCTAGACCGGATTGGGAATTAGATAAGGACTTCGATACCTGAGGCAGAAGTGCATATATTTTAGTAAGCCCGCCACGTGAGAAATTCTCCGGTGCAAGTGTCATTCTGCAGGAAAGTGTGGGGGTTGACATGATACAATGCCCCTGTTCAACTATTAGAGACTGGAAGATACCATATCTAGATTATAGAGTGTACATAAACCTAACTAGGCTCATCTATATAATATGCCAAAATATACGGTTAATAGAAAATCCTCATTTCCAATGTTCCTCGGTGGCTCTCGAATGGTTCGGTGGGTCCTTCTCGCCTTGGCTTCCCTTTTCTGCAAAACAATCGCGCGGTGGCCGCGGACTCCGCTTGTATTATATTCAAGGCCTCTGCCAAAACTGGTGAAAAGAATGAAGAGCCTTTCGTTGCACCCACTTCGCCACTGTCATTGGCTGTATACCGAGATGGTCAGATAACGTCTGGACCCCATCAGAAACATCTTGACTTTCTCATCGACCACCGGATTGGCTGGTCGTATCCAGGTTCATCATCATGAGCCTTGGCTTCTTTTTCGGGACCTGTGGTCGTACCCTTTTTCTTGATTGAATTAAATTCTTATTCTTGGTCTTATTCTTTATAAGATTGTGCAATTTCTTCATGTATAGTACGATGAGGTCTGGATTTTCCAAACGACTATTGAAGGATCAATATGCCCGCTCCTCTTCATCCCCACGTGAAGCATAGCTCTTCCTTTGCCAAAGAGAAACACAACAATGAACCTCCGAGAGTGCAGGTCTCATACGAAGACGAAGATGCCCTCGCCGATATCCATCACACATTAACCGCTCAAACTCACCCGGATCCCAAGTACCCGGAACCGCACTCCTCTTTCGACAAGTTCCTCGAGGAACAAGTCCAGGGCAAGAAACCTGCCAACCTCGGCGTCTGTTTTCAATCTCTCTCAACCTGGGGCGACGGGGACTCCCACGCAGATGTAAAGACCTTCGCCACAGCCCTGTGGCGGACCCTCACCCTACAGGATGTCTATGAATGGACGATCCAGCCATGGATCGCGAAGAAGATGCCCGAGCATGGGCGTCCGCTGATACGCGATTTTTCCGGAGTCGTGCAGAGCGGAGAGATCATGCTGTAAGCAGGAAATCAAACGCCATCTCATCCTTACCGAACTTGGTCTAATTGAAATATATAGCGTTCTGGGTCGTCCTGGTGCCGGCTGCTCGACCTTTCTGCGAACTATCGCTGGCCACCACTCTTCTTTTTTGGGTGTCACGGGCTCAATCGATTACTCCGGTCTCAGCTCAGATGAAGTTAGGAAGCACTACCGTGGCGCTGTGGCCTACATCCCCGAGGACGATGTGCATTTCCCCACCCTGACCGTGCGCCAAACGCTCGAGTTTGCACTGCAGAGCAAGACTCCCAAGCGCTACCGGGAGCGGATTCCCCGGTACCTGGAGATCTATGGGCGGGTTTTTGGTATGTCACATACCATGAACACGTTGGTGGGGAATGGGTATATCCGCGGTGTGTCTGGAGGAGAGCGCAAGCGTATCTCTATCATTGAATCTCTCGCTACCGATTCGTCAGTAGCATGTTGGGATAATTCCACGAGAGGATTGGACGCATCCTCTGCACTCGATTATGCACGCAGTTTGCGTATCATGACCGATACATGTGGCAAAGCAACCTTGCTTACTTTATACCAGGCCTCGGATGCTATCTACGAACTGGTGGATAAGGTGCTGCTCATTGATGAAGGCCGCATGCTGTACCAAGGACCTGCCAACGGGGCGAAGCGTTACTTCGAAGATCTGGGCTATGAGTGCGCTGATATGCAGACGACTTCGGATTTCCTGACCAGTATCACCCTGCCCGAAAGACGGCGCTTCCATGCCGGATGGGAAAACCGTGCGCCGAAGGGCCCCATCGAACTCGAAGCCGCTTTTCGCCAGAGTGCTGCGTTCGCTAACATCGAGACGGCTGTCGAAAGGTACGAAGATCAGAAGTCCGGTAGGTCTTCCAGTGCGTATCCGGCGGATTCGGAGTGCGACAGCGTGGAGGTATTCAAGAAGACTGTGCAAAATGATAAGTCGCGCTTCGTCTCGTCCAAGTCGCCATATACGATTTCGCTTTTCCGACAGGTCGTTCTTTGCGCTAAGCGTCAGATGTGGCAGTTGAGAGGGCATATGGGCCCGCTGTACATCAAGTTAATTTCTTGCGTGGTCTATGGGTTGTTGATTGGGTCTATGTTCTACGATCAGCCTCAGACCACCGAGGGTATGTATTCACGTGGAGGTGTGCTCTTCTACTCTTCTATTTTGCTTGCCTGGCTGCAGATGTCGGAGTTGGAAGAAGCTATGCAGGGTCGCGATATCCTGAGCCGACAGAAGAAATTCGCCTTCGTGCGGCCCAGCGCTGTATGTCTGGCCCGAGTGCTCTCAGATATGGTGATAACTGTGTTTTTGACTTTTTTGTATTTGATTGTCATGTACTTCCTGTCCGGTCTACGGTCTGATGTGAGTAATCTCGGAATCTTGGCACAGTATAGACGCTAACTCTTCCAGGCCGGTCCCTTCTTCATCGATGGCCTCTTCATTTACACGAGTACGCTCTGCCTCACGGCGCAATTCCGTGTCTTTGCCGCTCTATCGCAGAACTTTGAAGTTGCTCTTCGCTACTGTGGAGTTTCTGTTATGTTTTGCATCGTGTTCGGCGGCTACGTTCTCTCCGTCGACAAGATGATTCAAGATGTTCCTTGGGTTGGATGGATTGCATATACAACTCCTGCTCTGTATACATACGAAGCAGTCATGGCCGCCGAGTTCCACAACGTTAACTTTTCCTGCGCGGCAGCCTCCATTATCCCATCCGGTTCGGAATATACCGACCTCGCATATCAGACCTGTGCCTATGCTGGTAGTCAAATTGGCAGCACCGTCGTGAATGGCGATGACTACCTGGCTGCGAGATATGGATTCTACTACAGCAATGTCTGGCGTAATTTCGGGATTCTCTGTCTTTTCACAGTCGCCTTTATTGGGATGACCTGTTGGCTGAGTGAGGTGCTTGAGTGGGAGCTGGATAGTGCTGGCCCTATCCAGTACAAGGGCTTGCGGAAGCTGTTCAAGCGGGAGAAGAAAGTTAAGTCTGATGAAGAGGAATCGCCTGTCTCGATTGATTCTGCAGCGCCACCTGTTGGTCATGAAACAAAGCATGACCAGACCCTTACAGCTACCGAGTCTACTTTTTCCTGGTCTGACTTGGAGCTCAATGTGCAAATTGGCAAGGAGACAAGGAAGATTTTGGATGGGGTTTGTGGATACTGCAAACCAGGGTCTTTGACTGCTCTCGTTGGTGCCTCGGGAGCAGGCAAGTCTACATGTAAGATCACAATGAAATGAATCCATCGCTTGATTTCTGACAACCTTTAGTGTTGACTGCACTCACTCAAAGAGAGAGTCCCGGCACCTTTTCCGGGTCTCTATTCGTGGACAACCGGTCAATTGACCAGTCCTTCAACCGACAGATTGGATATTGCCAGCAAATGGACATCCACGACGAAAGCAGCACGATCAAGGAAGCGTTCGAGTTCTCTGCCCTGCTACGACAAAGCCACGAAGTTCCAACGGCGGAAAAGCTGGCATACGTGGAAACGGTGATTCACACATTGGACTTGGTTGAATTACAAGATGCAGTGATCGGGTCTTTGGATATCGAGAAGAAAAAGCGGGTTACTATTGGAGTGGAGCTGTGCGCTCGACCGAACCTGCTTCTTTTCCTAGATGAACCGACAAGTGGACTCGACAGCCAGGGCGCAACTAGTATCGTCGCTCTGCTACGACGTCTCGCCAACCAGGGACTGGCGGTTCTCTGCACTATCCATCAGGCTAACCAGCAGCAATTCGAAGAGGTAAGCATCAAACGCCCTCCTCACGACTCAATATTAACAAGACTAGTTCGACCGCGTCTTAGCCCTGAGCCCTGGCGGAAGCACATACTACTTCGGCCCAGTCGGTGAATCTGGCCACGCAATCTTCGAGTATTTTGCAAGACACGGCAACATTCCGGAAAAAGTCACCAACGCAGCCGACTTCCTCATCGAAGTAGTCGTCGGCGGCATGAAAGCCTCGGGAAACCCAACGAATTGGGCAGCCATCTGGCGCAACTCAGAAGAATTCGCCGAGGTCAAGAATGAGATCGCTTCAATTCGCTCCGACAAGAATACCCGTCCCTCTTCCCTGCCCCCAACCCTACCCCCTCTCAGTCAACAGATCATACTCCTCACTCAACGGACCTGTCGCCAGTTTTGGCGCACCGCGGAGTACCCATACTCGCGTCTTTACTCTTCCTTCCTCCACGCTCTTATCAACGGCCTCACCTACCTCCAGATCGGCAATAGTACGACGGACCTTCAGTCGAAGGCGTTCTCTTGCTTCCTTGTCCTGATGCTGGTTCCCGAGTTTATCAACGCTATATCTATGCGCTTCATCATGAACCGCGATATCTGGTTGGCAAGAGAAGGCCCAAGTGGTGTATACGGCTGGGTAGCATTCTGCACAGCGCAGATCATCTCCGAGATCCCCTATTCCGTCCTCGGTGCCGTAGTCTTCTTCGTTCTATACTATTTTATGGTGGGATTACCACTCGGCTTCGCAGCCGGCTACTGTTTCCTGATGTTCTTCCTTTTTTTCCTATTCGCGACCTCGTGGGGTCAGTGGATTGCCGCTCTGAGGTGAGTTTAATATAACCAAGCACCGTTTCTTATCCGCAATAACTTAATCAACTAACACATCGCCCCAATCGATAGCGCCGACTCAATGGTCGCCGCTACCCTCATGCCCTTCTTCATTATCATGTGTGAGCTCTTCAACGGTATCCTCCGTCCGCAATCTCAGATGCCTGCCTTTTGGAAGTATACAATGTACTACGTCACACCGTTCACTTACTGGATTGGTGGGGTGCTCACCTCCGTTCTCCGTGGTACCGCTGTCGTTTGCTCTCAGACTGAATTGACTATCTTCGAGAGTCCGCCCAACACTACTTGCAGTGAGTACGCGGGCCCGTGGCTTGATGCGAAAGGCGTTGGGTATCTCTCCAACCCGGATGAAAAAGGCGAGTGTGGATATTGTGAATATAGCTTTGGTGATGATGTGAGTTTGTTCCCTGGAATATGTTTTGTTTTATCTGGAATAGATGCTAATCTGCGTTGGTAGTACTTGTCTGGAATTGGTCTGGGTTCATCCAAGATCTGGCCGTATTTCGGTATATTTCTTGCTTTTACCGTTACTAACTACTTGCTGGTCTTTTTACTGGTTTATTTGCGGTCTGTTATGAAGCCGCTTTGGCTGTCAAAGTAGCTCTTCTCTTTGATTTGGATGTACATTCGGCATAGCGTTGTGTATACATCAAAAGCGAACCTTGTCATTTTACTACTACGAATTTTGACTCTGGGTTCCTCTAAATAATGCGAGACTAGGAATAATAATTTAGCAGAAAGGACTAGTATGCATCCCGCTGTTCATGTGTGGATATGCAAGACATGGCCATCTTTCAGAAAGGAAGTAGATAATTGTCTTTATGGGAGGAGAGATGGTTATAGTGGAGGTTGTAGAAGAGTTAGATAACACATTCCTAACCTTAGTTGATGTTGAAGATGTAAGTGTAACTACTCCGTATAAATGCATGTCGGAGGAAAAAACACGGCACGTTACCACTAGGCAAAAAAGGTGCACACCTTACTTAGTAAGGATAACTAGTTAACCAACTAACTAGTGTATTTCTCGTTCTGACAATGCATAGTTGCCTTAGAATATAGGCATCTGTCCTACTTTGGCTCCTTTGGGTTCGGCCTCCAAATGTATTTCAATCTTTTACACATATCTGGAGAAGTGTATCACCAGGCTTGCTTAACTTTGATCCGCCCAAATCTGTCATCCTCCAGATTCCACCAACATAGAAATCAACTCAAGCTCCTACAACAGAACTGACCACTACGAGGGCTTTTAGGGACCATCACGACAACCGGCCTAATCGGGTTACCGCTTTTACCACCGCCTTTTTTATAGGGAGCTCCCTTTTAATTTTAACAACTATACGGAGTACGGAGTATAACATAGAACCGTCAATTATTATACTGTACTCCGAAGTATGAAGTAATTCAAATCAAGAGAATTGTTGCTCGTACTAGATGCTTACACGCCTAGCCTGAATTTTCAGTACAGCCTTCTTAATTTAGTCGACTACCTCGATACTTGCTTCTGCCTACCGCTCTCTTACCGCTTCCAAATTTGTACACGGCAAAGTATGGCAGAAATATGGCAGAATTCTGAGTGGTACCCAATCAGGAAGGCGGCATTTAGGCCAGGGTTATGAGCATCCGGTGTGAGCAACAATTCCCTTAATTTAAATTGCTTTATATTCACAGATCAGGTAGTCTCTAAATAGCTTCACCTCTTCGGGCATTATCAGGTATTAATATTACTTATACTCAGGATAAGACTTGGCACCTAATCGTGTCGAAAATATATACCGTGTGTTGGCGTCTGGCAAGTTTGTTAGTTAGGCGGTATTATTTTATTACCTAATTTTCTGCCAAGCAAAAAACCCATTGTCGTGATGGTCCCTAAAAGCCCTCGTAGACCACCTCTCTTGTCTCCGGTATTTCGAGCCCAAGGTTCGAATTTCTAACCAACATGGCAACCTCAGATGTTGTCGTTAAGATACTCGATATGGTTCGGTTGGCCACCAGCTTAAACTTCTCTAAATCCATATTGTGCGTCTAGGGGTCATTGTTAGAACTTTTCGCCCGAACGATAAAGATTTCTTGGACTCCGATACGAAATGTCTTTTCAAGCCTATCTCCAAGGAGGACCTCAAACCGTGGAAAATCTCGGACTTTGAGGCCAAGGAACTGCGAAACTGCCTGAATATTCCGGACTTGTCCGCATTGCAGTCTCGGCCTGAGTGGACTATCACATTCGCTACACAAAGCGTGTTCAGATTGATCATGGCAAATTTCCGCTCCCGCCGCCAAGGGGAGACTCTATTAATAGAGACATTCGGGTGGAATGACATCAAGTATACTAGTGCATATTTATGATTCTTTATAGGCTCTAGCTAATAGTATATAGTCAGGAGGAATTCAACGGCGGCAATATGGGACTCCTCTACTCTACGTCTGGAAGATGCAGAGGCGTTGATACACCGAGCTGGAGAACTTGCCTACTAGAAGAATGGTGGGATGATAAAAGCCTCGTTGGACCTTCTGTCCGTTTCGCCCTCTATACGGATGGACTTGGCGAGGAAAATAGTCTACTCCTAAGTGAGCTTGGAGCAATCGCCCAGGTCATTGAGTTCCGCCGGACCCAGGCTGAGTTTCAGACCTATTCCTTATTCCCAGTGAGACAAACTTCATTCCTAGCGAGATAAATTATTAATATAATCTATCTAACGTAATTCACAAGCGAGCCGGCCACACAAGCGAGCCGGCCACCCAACCAAACCCATTGAATTCAAATACATTTATTTCAACCATAACGCCATTAAATTAAATAAACTAAAAAGGATCATTTATCTGGACACCTATTAATCTTATGTCCTATCTTCCAACACCCACTATACCTTGGTGCAGCCCGTGGTCGTGGTTCTAACCCTGATTGAGTGCTTCCGCCCGGGGGGTGTAGGGGTGTTTCTGATACTTCCACCGGCGTAGCAATCAATTGAGAAGCTTCCTAAACAGAGAGGCCTTCTTCGGCGGGTATCTGCCTTCTAGATCGGGTCCGTTTTTACTTCTTCTTCTCATTTTCATCCCGTAACTCCTTATTTTCTTTCGCTAGTAGAATAGCGTTATATATTGCAACTTGGCAGCCTTTGATAAGTTGGTTTAATGTATATTTAGAAGGACTTATTGGGCTTTAAGATTGTGTACGAAGTAAAGCATTGATTGACGAAGCCTATCGACATAGATCTTTCCCGGTAGTAGGGGTTTTTAGTATAAAATTCCGGCTTAAGTTACTACCCTGGCTCGGAAGGGGGGTAGGTATTCGAAGCTGGATATTTAGCTTAGAAAGTACCCGATCGGGTAAAAAGGGTACTAAACCGGCTGCTAAGAAGCTATTTTTAATTGTCTCCGATTTAAAAGCTTCAATTCGTACAGAAGGGTATGCTTTAAGGAAGTCAAGTTTATTAATATAGTTAATCCTGCGCCGCATTTTTGTTTCAACTAACCGACTATATATACGTTTTAAGACCGTAAAACAGCCGATATCGAGTGGTTATAAAAGGTGAGAGGAATACGGTAGCATATAAATTGGTATAATATCGTTTTACTCGTAAATTTCATCGAATTTTAGTATTAAATAGCTTCTATAGCTATCGAGTATCAAAAGTCGATACCTTCCTACTATATATAATAAAGTTAATAGAATAAATAGCTTCTAAAGCTAACGAAGTCCAATTTTATCAGAAGTCCAGCTGTTTAGACTAACTTCAAAACGCTAATCATTAGGAAGGCTGTTAAACCAAGATTTAATAAAGACTTTGCCTTTAAAAATTATATATAGAGGAAGCGCCTATCCTGAAGCATTTATATACTTAACCACAGTTACCCACTCGCGATTTCCGGGTTATAAAAGTGATCTCCGACCGTAGTATTCACTTCTTATTATAACCTTTACCGTTACAGTCAATCCTATAGCAAAACCTGTCTCGTCGAAGTTATAAATATTGTCTGGATCGATTCCGTACTAAAGAATGGTTTTTTGAACTAGATTAAACCACTCTCTAATAATCCTTAGGTCTTTACATTTCGCGCGCTTGTAATTATAATGTCTTAAGAATCGGGACGAGAGAGTAGGATACCGTTTAATAAAGTTTGTAACCCAATTTATACCAACTAAAAGGACCGGGGTATTTCCGCGTTATTCGAGGAGAAGATTCGCCATTTCTCGTATAGAAGAGGGCCGGGGGGCTGCTCCACGAGAATCCATAGAGATAATCCATTTTTCAAGCGATTCCTCTTCATTTATATTCAGTTTATGGTTGTTGGCGTATGAAATCGCGCGGTGTTCGTGGCCGCGTAGTCGATCTTAGAGTGTTGAACGGGGGATTTTGAAAAGGCGCGCTATCTCACGAATTGAAGAGATTTCTTGATTCTTGAACGCCTGGATAGCTAATAAGATCCTACCCTCTTGCTCTATTGATTTTCTAGAGGGTTGAGAACGTTTTGGTGGCATGGTGGGTGGTTGAATTGACTAAGTGCTAATTTACGGACGCGTTTTGGTTGGGGTGGCCGGCTCGCTTGTGTGGCCGGCTCGCTTGTGAATTACGTTAGCTATAATCTTAGCTATACTAACAAGGCCTTTCTAACTATATAGGTTCTTATGCTTTCTCTTTTCGGCCCCCGGCATGGGCGTATCCTTCAGGCTTGCTATAACCGGCGCGGCGATGAGTTTGAACTTCGCGTGTCTCAAATTTTCTGTTTCGCCACCAAGCATGATACGGCGTTTGATACATTCCTTCGATTCACCGCGAGCTATCCACCCGAGATTGCAATTCCGAACTTTCCCCGATAGCGGGTTAGGACTCAATGATAGGTCTCTCGCATGCCCCAAGACCCGGAAACGAACACGCCAGAGATCTAATAAAGGAATGCTCTTAGTTGACCTTGCTGAAAACTTATGTGCATTGCTTCAAATGTGCATAGAATAGGGAAAGCTGATATGCCTTTTCAAAGGTGTTTTCATTTAAACCTTTCTCGCCTTCTAGCGATATTTAAAAAGACTTACCGTCGAGCCGAATGAGCAGGCCCATTATTGTTGCTATACACTGTTGGTTAGTTTGACAGACCACCTAAAAAAAAGATAATTGAATTTGTATGGTGAAAAGGTGGTGATACATTTCTGTGCCGGCCAAATTTCCAGGCATCAAGGCCTCAATACAGTGTCGGAGCATATGGACCGGCATACCGGAGGATCAATTAATCCCATGTTTCCAAAGGTTTGTAATTTAGTTTATGTAATCCCGGCCCCATAGTTAACTATAAATTGTGCAAGGGGGCCGATACAGAAATTCAGACGATTATACACCATTAATTGGACCCCCATTATTGCACATACGGTTTACTCCGACATACAGTGAAAGCGACCCTTCGTAGTACAAGGCATTATTATCTCAGCCCCAGACATAATTATCTTTCTACGCATGTTCACGACCGCAGTGAATATTGTGTCGTCGAATTGTATTGTTTGCTAGATTGCTAAGCGAGAAGGTTCGAAGTTTGCAACGTTTGCAAAGGGTAAGCTATATCACAGGCTGTTCCCTGCTTTGCAACTTGCTTCTTCTTTCTTCATCTCAGTCATTTAGTTGAATGCACTCCTCCCTCTCCAAGATCGACCTGGCACCTCACAACTACTAGCACGTCATAGTGACAAGTGAACCACAAGACTTGCTTGACCTTGATCCCCCAAATCTGTATTTCATCAACGAAAGGTATGCCACCGCATATTTACCCAACATACCAAGCTTCCACACCTTCGTCTGACTAAAAAAAACTGACCACCTCTCTTGTCTCCAGTTTTTCGAGCCCAAGGTCCGGATTTCTAACCGTTGATGCAACAGGTTAAACAACATGCCATACTCAGATATTCTGGTCACCTTACTCGATATATTAGAGTTGGCCACCTGCCCAACCTTCTCTGAATCTGATATTGTGTGTCTAGGAGTCATCGTTAAGCATTTTCTACCGGGCGACGAAGACTTCTTAAACTCCAACACGAAATGTCTTTTCAAGCCTATCTCCAAGGAGAACCTTAAACCGTGGAAGATCTCAGCCTCTGAGGCTGCGGAGATACAAAGCAAGCTGAATATCCCGGACTTACATTGCACACCAAAGCCTCGGTCTAACTGGGATATCTCAGTCGCTCACTCGAATATCTCAGTCGCTACGGGAAGGGTATTCGACTTTATCATGGCACAGTTCAGGTTCCGCCGCCAAGGGGAGACTCCGCTAAAGGGTACATTCGGGTGGAATGAGATTGAGTAAGTATACCAGTTTTGTGACTTATTTAGAAGTACTAGCTAGCTAATAGCGTATAGTTACGAGGATTTCTACGGCGGTAATGGGGGATTCCTCTTCTCTACGTCTGGACGATATAAAGGCGTTGATACCCCAGCCTGGAGGACTTGCCTACTAGAGGAGTGGTGGAATGGTGAAGTTCTCGCTGGACCCTCCCTCCGGCTCGTCCTCTGTACGGATGAATTTGGTAAGAAAGGCTGTCTACTACTAAGTGAGCTTGGAGCAATCGCTCAGCTCATTACGTTCCGTCGAACCCAGTCAGAGTTCCAAACCTTTCAGTTATTCCCGGTAAGATAAAATGCATCTACTAATCCTCCCTATCTATGCTAATGGCGTCTTGGTATATAGGTCCTTCTGATTTCTCTTTTTGGGCCCCGACACGGGCGGATCATCTAAGCCTGCTATAACCGGCAGGGTGATAAGCTTGAAATTCGAATCTCTGAAACTTTCTGCTTTAAGACCAAGGATGATGAAGCATTCGATATATTCTTTCGATTCACCGCGAGCTACCCGCCTGAGGTTGCAATTCCAAACTTTCCCCGCATATCACAAGACCAGGTCGTTCTCTTAACGAACACGCCAGAGATCCAATAAAAAAAGACGCCCATTCCCAGATCGAATCATGCGCATGGATTTTTTTGGGGTAGGCCAATGCTAATCGCACGCTTGCTTCGCAGCCACTGTAGGTATGTATTATCAAACTTGGCGACAGTGATGTACACCTCCGGGCTATTTTGCGAATGATAAAACGGCGCCTTATATATTATAATGTTAGCGCTTCGTAATGGGTAGCGTCCGATCAACAGAAGGAACTCCCGCCGAGTGTGGATGGCGAGATCACTCTTCAGCCATGCAATCACCTCTTCAGTTTCTTGCCTCATCAGATATCTAGGGCTGGACCTAGATTTGGGGATGATCGACTGACAGATACAGCAGAGAAATGGAGAGGAATAATATCTCGTCGGATATGTAGGAGAGGACTTATATACCGATGAAAGAAAAGCAATCATACAGGAGAGTGTACCTGAACTACAACCTTGTACTTCTTACACCATTGACACTCACATAATTTTCATATAACTCTTAGATAACTTTCAGCCTCTGAAGTTATATGTTATTCAAAGTTCTATCTTCAAGTTGACCTATCCTCTAATCTAACACGCGCCCTTTCGTATCATAAAATATCATCTAGAATTATACGAGGATACTACTTCAAACTGATGTGAATGGCGGTAATCATTTGTACTACACCTAGAGAAAATGGACACAAAGAACAAAGAACGAGGTGCTCAAGGCACAAGCAAACTAAGAGCAGACATATTGAAATTCTATCTCGCAATACCCAGGGCCCATAGCTCAACAATTTCCCCCGTAGCTAGCTAGAGTTTATTGCATTTATTCATGGAATTGATCCGAGGGAAGGGAACTGTAGATTGCATAATGTATTGGGTTCGATTGGTTTGAATCCCGAAATGCAACTAAGCGAAAAGAGGTTGAACTAAGCATGATGATCCTACTTGGAAGCCAGCCTCTGATATTCTTGGTGAATATGCTTATCCTATGCGGTCTAAACTACTTCGGGTAAGGCGCTTCTTGGCCAGCTAATATACACGTGACTTTAGCCACCATTAGCCACATGTAAATTGATTGGATGCCTTCTTACCAAGGCATCACACGGGATAACTAGTCTTCCCTCTGTCGACTCACGACTGAATGACTACACTGTTTTCTGGATGATTGATTAGGTTAGTTACTGTATCTATTCCCATTAAAATTACATACAACATAGTCAGCCAAAATGCTGTCTAAATGATACCCGAAGTAGTATGAACGAGTGTGTAGATACTTCCCACCTGTTGTCCGGCTTGGCTCAAATCAATCGGAGGTGGGAGAAGCACCAAGGAGCCCCTGTAAAATAGATGAGAATAGAAGTGAAAATAAACTGTCCGATGTTGTACAAAGTGAAGACTCTGAATAACTTCACTTTTCACATTCACCTCCCGCCATTGGGGCCATTTATGGCATCATCGTTATCTCCACATTTCTCCACATTTGATAGCTTCTTTATAAATTGCATACAAAATACAACTTGTACTACTCCGCGATCTTTCTCAAAGTACCATCTCACAATGAAATTAATTACTGCCATTGCCGGCCTCGTCGCCGTCGAAGGCGTTGCAGCCCTCAATTTCCAATCCAACCTGCAATCAGTTCTCCAATCCGTACTGAAACCCAACGAAGGACAATTGCGCAAACCAAATATCCTCTTCGTCATCACTGACGACCAAGACTTGCAACTCGACTCAATCTCCTATACCCCCCTAATCTCCAAACATATCCGCGACCAGGGCACCTTTTTCCGCAACCATTTCGTTACAACAGCCCTATGCTGTCCGTCGCGCGTGAGTCTATGGACCGGTCGCCAGGCACACAACACAAATGTGACCGATGTCCATCCACCATACGGCGGATATCCCAAATTCGTTGAGCGTGGTTTCAACGATGATTTCCTCCCACTGTGGCTCCAAGGGGCGGGTTATGATACGTATTACACCGGGAAAATGTTCAACGCACATACCGTGTGGAACTACGACAGCCCACACATCAATGGATTCAATGGATCGGATTTCCTTCTCGATCCTTACACCTATTCTTATCTCAATTCGACTTACCAGCGAAACCATGAACCACCGGTCAGCCACGAGGGTGAACATACCATCGACGTGATCACGGGAAAAGCACTGGGTTTCCTCGATGATGCACTGGCCGGTGAGAGGCCCTTCTTCCTAGCAGTGTCGCCCGTCGCACCACATTCGAATGTCGATCCCGGCGATATCACATCGGGAAACTTTTACATGTCCGCGCCCGTCCCCCTCGAACGACACGAGCATTTGTTCCAGGGTGTCACGGTGCCCCGGACGGCGAATTTCAATCCCGGCCAGGTAAGCGCGGCCCTGATTTAAATTAACGTGTTTGTGTTCGCAAATTCTGACGGATCTTATTTGCTTGCGTAGCCAAGTGGAGTCAGCTGGGTTCACGACCTACCCCTGCAGAACCAATCGGTCGTCGACTACAACGATCACTTTTATCGTTCACGTCTGCGCGCCCTGCAGGGTGTTGATGAATTAGTTGATGGGCTTGTCACCCGGCTAGAGCAGAGTGGTCAGTTGGATAATACTTATATTATCTATACTTCGGATAATGGGTTCCATATTGGCCAGCACAGACTGCCGCCCGGGAAGACTTGCGGGTTTGAGGAGGATATCCGCGTTCCCTTGTTCATCCGTGGACCTGGCATGCCTAAGGGATATGTGCAGGATGCTGTCACTACGCATGTGGACTTGGCGCCGACTTTGTTCCATCTTGCGGGTATACCGCCGAGGGATGATTTCGATGGTACCGCGATTCCTATGACGCCCGAGTTTGAGGGTGAGCGCCATGAACATGTTACGGTGGAGTATTGGGGTTCTGCTGTTGTTGAGGGTTTTTATAGCGGCATTGGTCAGTCTAATGTTTTCATGGTAATTGTGGGATACGTTACTAATTCCAAGGCAGGCCCCGGAGGCTCAACACTGATCCCAAACAACACCTACAAATCCGTCCGCTTACATGGAGACGGATACAGTCTGTACTACTCGGTCTGGTGCAACAATGAACACGAACTGTATGATATGTCGGTGAGTAGATAGTACCTCGGTTCTTCATCACAACGACTAACCCTTTTGCAGACCGATCCATACCAGTTGAATAATCTGTACCCGACTTCCTCCCAGGAGGATCTCAATGAACCGCGCATTCTCGGTCGTAGCTTGACCCAGGCTATCAATCGACTCGACGCTCTATTGATGGTCCTCAAGTCATGCCAGGGTGTGACTTGCATCCATCCGTGGGATGTCCTCCAACCGGTAGACCCGGTTAGTACTCTCCAGGATGCTTTAAATGAGGAGTATGATGGCTTCTATAGCGCACAGCCCCATGTCTCGTTTGACTGGTGTGATGCGGGATACATTGTTGAAGCTGAGGGGCCACAGGTGCCGTTGACTAGTCGACACGGGGTGTCTTGGGATGTGTGGGTGTAATGAAGTAGTTAATTTGCTAATTTTACATTGTAGATAAAGATGCAAATCAAGTATATTCAAGTATTCCAGTTATTCAATGTTCATATCACTATCCAGAGGCCAATGACCCCCAGATCCCCAGGTCCTTGGCAAATCCCAAATCCGTGATTGCGCCATATCTCCCCATCTCGCGACATCAAGAAGTCGTCGCGTCAAAACGCACTCGACGGAGAGTTGGTGCTGTTTAGCACATTTTAACTATATTGACTTACGCAATCCTTTATCTTGTGCTTCTCCTTTTCCTATAAGAACAGTGTTCCTGTAAATCCCCACATAGGAATTGAGCGTCTACACATATTTCCTATTTTGTTCATTTTTGGGGGTTCAAGCTCCTTCAAATCGCAAGATGGCAGATCAAGGCATCTTCGACGAGAAAAACAAAGTAGGGGAGCAGGTCATCGACTCATCTCCAAGTGAGCTTGACCAGGGTATTGTGAAAGATTGGGATGGAGAAGAACCGGCCGTTCGACGGAAGTACGTATAGTTCTTGTCCCTATACCGACTATGAACATATCACTAATAAGTGTCTCTCAGAATCGACTTCATCATCATTCCCATTCTTGCAGCTGCTTTCTTCGCCTTGCAAATGGATCGCGGAAATATCAGCGCCGTTTTGACATCGACTATCACAAAAGACCTCAATATCACAACGAATCAAATCAATGTCGGAACCCAACTGCTCTCTGCTGGAATCGTCCTCTCCGAGATCCCATCGAATATCATTATGCAGCGAATTGGACCCCGTGTGTGGCTGTCGGGTCAATTATTCGCTTGGGGTTTAGTTGCCACGTTCCAGGCCTTTGTTCAATCATATCCTGCGTACCTGGTTACCAGGATTCTGTTGGGATTCTGTGAGGGTGGTTTTATTCCTGGTATGGCAATCGTTATCTTCGCGCTGGATAATCGGCTAATAACCCACAGGCGCCCTATACTACCTCTCTACCTGGTATAAGAAGGAGGAGACGAGTGTTCGCACCAGTTTCTTCTTCTACGGGCAGATGTTCGCATCGGCTACAGCGAGCTTGATATCCGCCGGTCTGCTTCAGCTGAGTGGCACCCATGGTCTGGAAGGGTGGAGATGGATCTTTCTGGGTAAGTGTGGATCGATCTTATACAACCCGAGCTATTCTGACCGACCCTCCAGTCCAGGGCTTAATGACCCTCTTTATCGCAATTGTATTCACCCTCCTCGTGCCTCCATCAGCCGGAGACGGCCGTGCCTTGATCACCTTCGGCCGCTGGAGTTATTTCACTGAGCGCGAGTCGCACATCATTCGT